CCTGAACTAAGGCAGCAGTTAGAGAAAACCCACTACCATCAAGTTGCTTCTGACTGATATCAGCTCCATAGTGTTTCCAAGGCTGTGAATCTTTACAAAAACAGACAGCCTCATCTTTGTCCTGTGGAGCAGCTGGTAGATTCAAATCACTAACCTTCCACTTACCAACCCAACACTTATCTGAAGCACCACCAGCTAGAGAGCAGGGGATCCACTACACAATTGGAAAATAGGATGGAATTTAGTGACCAAGTTTCCATTTATCCCGTGTCTTCTATTTGGCAAGCCCCAAATCAGCTACTGTGCATTCATGGTCTCATCTTAGCCCTCACGATAACGGTGCAAGGGGGCATGGCATAGGGTAAAAGAGGAAGTCTGGTCAGAGGTTTGAAATAATTTGTCATGTGTGGCAACGTCGATATTTGAGCTCAAGTCTGCATGACTCAGGGCCACATTCTTTCAAATATTGGCTCTTAAATAGATGCACAAGAAGATGTACTCAAGAAGTCTGTGGTCCCTAAGTTGGAGGACAACTGGGCTAGAGTTGCAGAACATTAAAGTGAGAAACTAAATACAGCATTAAAGTGGGGGGAAAAGGATGGGGTGGGGAGTGGGAACAGACCTGAGATGGAAGACAAGGAATCAGAGCAAGATCTTGAAAACAAAGCAAGGAGGAGCCTGATAATTGCCTCCGACAGAGTGGGAGGGCTCCTCCTTTGCTTATCAGACATGACCGCCTGGGTAGAATGGGATGACTAAAAGGCAGAGAGTGAGGATAGCATCAACATCCCTCCGGTGACCGGCAAGCATCTGGACCAAAGACCTCCTGTGGTTTGATCCCAATGGCGTATTCTTGAGCCTGGAGGCAGCTTCCCAGGAGTTCAAATATAATCGTTCCATCTGAGCCCACAGCTGCAGCCGTGGTGTCAGCCACATCATTAAGGGCCTTTCTCTTTTCATGGGTCTCCTGCTTTTCCAAGCAGGGTGGCCTTCTCCAGGGGTTGGCTTCTCCTCGTTTTTCCCCTCGCTTCCCACTCCTCGCTCCCTCATGAACCCCATAATTATAAATTATTATTTTGTCATATCTTACACTGTCCGACGTCTCCCTTCACCCACTTTTCTGTTGTCCGTCCTCCAGGGAGGAGGTTATATGTATGCAGATCCTTGTAATCGGTTCCCCCTTTCCACCCCACCCTCTGTCCACCATCCCGGTTGTCAGCTTTTATAGACATATGAGGCGATTAAAAATACTATGGTTGGCTCAGGTGCATTTTAGTTTTTAAAGCGACATCTTAACTCTTTAACACCTTGAAGAGGTCTTGTGCAGCAGATTTGAAAAATGCAATGATTCATAATTTGATTTATTGACTGCTGCTTCCGTGAGCATTGATGGTAGATCCAAATAAAATGAAATCCTTGACAACTTCAATCTTTTCTCCGTTTATCATCTCCGTTTGTCTATTGGTTCAGTTGTGAGGATTGGGGGTTTTGTTTTTTACATCGAGCTGTAATCCACAACGAGACTAGTCTTTGATCTTCATCAGTAAGTGCTTCACATTGTCTTCACTTTCCGCAAGCAAGGTTGTGTCATCTGTGTCATTTCACAGGTTGTTAATGAGCCTTCCTCCAATCGTGATGCAGTATTCCTCTTAATATAGTCCAGATTCTTGGATTATTTGTTCCACACGCAGACTGAATAAATCTGGTGAAAGAATACAACCTTGGCACACACCTTTCCAGATTTAAACCAGGCAGTATCCCCTATTTCCATTTGGATGATGCCTCTTGGTCCATGTACAGGTTCCTCAGGAGCACGAGGAAGTGTTCTGAAATCCCTATTCTTTTTATAATGCTATCAATAGTTCGTTATATAAGTGCCTTTGCATAGTCAATAAAACACAAGTAATAAATAAGTAAGCAAAAAATAAATAAAACGTTCTGGTATCCTCTGCTTTCAGCCAAGAGTCATCTGATATCAGCAATGATAGCCCTCATTCCTTGTCCTCTTTTGAATACAGCTTGGATTTACAGCAACTCATTATGTACTGATGCAACTGTTTTAATCATCAGTAAAACTTTACTTGCGAGTGAGATGAATGATGTTGTTCAATGATTTACCTGTTGTTGGAATGAGCTCATTTTACTGGAATGAGCACAAATATGGATCTCTCCCAGTCAGTTGGCCAGGTAGTTTTCTTCCATATTTCTTGGAATACAGTGCTTCCAGAGCTGCATCGGTTATTTGAAATATTTTCATTGATACTATGTCAATTCCTTGTGCTTTCAATTTTGCCAATGCCTTCAGTACAGCTTAGATTTCCTCCTTCAGGACCATTGGGTTTTGATCAGATGCTACCTCTTGATATGATTGAGTGGCAACAAATTCTTTTTTGATACAATGACTGAATTCTTTCCATCTTCTTTTGATGCTTTCTGTATCATTAACTATTTACCCACAGAATCCTTCAGTATTGCACCGTGAGAATTGAGTTTTGTTTCTTCAGTTCTTTCAGCTTGAGAAATGCTGAACATATTCTTCCTTTTGGTCCTTGTACATTTCATTATAATGTAATCTGCTTTACTTTGTCTTCTTAAGCTGCCCTTTGAAGTTTTCAGTTCAGCTCTTTTATTTCATTTCTTCCATTTATTTTAGCTACTCTATGTTCAAGAGAAAGTTTTAGAGTCTCTTTTGACATCCACTTTTGTCTTTCTTTCTTGTTTTTTTTTAAATGAGCCTTTGCTTCTTTTTTTCATATAATGATAGTCCTGATGCCATGTGGTCCTCTTAATGTGTCAAATCTGCTCTTGAGATAGTCTCTAAATTCAGGCGAGATAGTTCAAAGTTGTGTTTTGGCGCTCATGGATTTGTTCTAATTTTCTTCAGCTTCCATCTGAACTTGCGTATGAGCAATTAATGATCTGTTATACAGTTGGCTGTGGCCTTGTTTTGGCTGATGACACTAAGCTTTTCTCTTATCTTTCCCACAGATGTAGTTAATTTAATTGCTGTGCATTTTACCTGTCAAAGTTCAGGTATACTGTCCCCCTTTACATAAAGCAACATTGCTGAAAAAGGGTATCTATGATTAAGAAATTATTTTTCCTACAAAATTATATTATGCGATTTCCAGCTTTGTTTCTTCACTAAAGCCATATTTTCCAACCACTGATCCTTCATCTTTGTTTCCAACTTTCATATTCCAGACACCAGAATTTATTAATGAATCCTGACCACATTTTTCAGACTGAAGAAGTTGGTAGAATTCTTCAATTTCTTCATCATTGACTAGTGGTTAGTGTGTAAATTTTAATAATAGTTGTATTCTTGGGGTGTCCTCATAGGCATACAGATATCACTTTATCACACATGCAGCATTACACTTCAAGAGAGATCTTAAAAAGTTCTCTTTGTCAAGGAATGTGATACCATTCCTCTTGATTTGTCATTCCTGGCATGGTAACCGTATGATTGTCTGATTCAAAATGGTCAACACTAGTTCATTTCATGCACTACTGCCTAGGATATTAATCTTTACGCATTACATTTCATTTCTGTCGACTTCCATTTTTTCTATATTCATCCTTCCTACATTGCAGGTTCCAGTGACTAATGAGTGCTTGCATCTGTTTCTTCTCATTTGGAGCCATGTTCCATTGGTAAATAAAGGCCCTAAGAGCTTTGCTCTCTTTATGTCATTAACAAAGACGGCAGAAGAACAGATGCGTTTGAATGATGGTGCTGGTGAAGGATATCGAAAGTGCCACGAGCTGCCAGAAGAACAATCCAATCTGTCTTGTGAGAAATGCAGCCGGGATGCTTCTTAGAAGCACGGACGGTGAGACTTGGTCTCATACACATTGGACATATTATCAGAAGAGGCCAGTCCCTGGAAAAAGACATCATGCTTAGTACACTCGAAGGCCACTGAAAAGGAGGAAGACCATCAGGGAGATAAGCTGACACAGTGGCTACAACAATGGGCTCAAACCTAACAACAGGCTAAGGTTGACACAGGTCAGGACAGTATGTCATTCAGTTGTGCATAGGGATCACTCTGCATCAGAACCAAGTCGGTGGCACCTATTAACAAAAACAACAATGTCATTAAGGTCAACTCAACTCTGAGAAGGTAGATATTCCTCAGTTGTATGTTGAGTGCCTTACTATCTGAAGGGCTCATTTTCCATCATGATATCAGACAATGTTCCAATATTCATGAGGCTTCCAGTGATCAGTCTCTCAGAAAGGGACCACTTATTCTTTCTTCAGAGTCTGTTCTCCTAGAAACTCGGCTGAAACCTGTTCACCTCAAGTGATCTGCTGGCATTTGAAAACCACTGGTATAACTTCCAGCATCCAAACTGCCACAATATGACAAACTGGCAGATGATTGTGATATTTAAGAGGTGGACAGTTTCTGAATTACATGGTTGAGAATCTAAAAAACACTTGAGTTATAGCAGATGCTTGTGATTTTCAGTGGTGGGAAAGGTAACATCAAATGTGAGTAAAGTGTACATACTTGAGCAAGTTAAATGATGGCACTAAGAAGCACACAAGAAAAAGTGATGTTTTGGTAAAAGCTACAACATATATAATCTAACAACAACATCCATTCTCCGCTTCTTGACATCATTAGTTTCTAAAGACTGGGTTATTATGTGAAAATATGCATGATGCAAAAATGGAAGGTGAACACATCAGATCACAAAATGGAGGATGAAGACATCATTACATAACTGTCAAACTATATCACTACAGAACTGCCACACTACTGAGAATCATGGCCCAGTCAAGTTGACACACACCTTAACCATCACAGGCGGCGTCACTCTTACTGTTCTGATCAGAGAACCATTATACACTCGGTGATAGAATGGAAGAAAAATGTAGAAGGAACCTTAAATTACTGTACTGGTTGAGACTAGAGGAACTCAGATACAGGACTATTGCCTAAGCTACCTTTTAAACTTTGAATGAAACTGTTCCCAGAAGTTACCTTTCAGTTACACGATAAACAATATCCCCCGTGAGAACTACATTTGGGGGGGGGAAAATCATCTGTATGAGATCAAATGGTCAACATTTACTCAAAAGCAAAGATGAGAAAGTAAGAGGGAGGAAAAGTAGATGGAAATGGAGCCACCAGATGGAAATAAAGAGAAAGTTGACGCACTGTGGAAAATATAACCAATGTCATTGGATACTCTGTGTAGAAATTACCTAAAAGGGACCCAATGTTATATGTAAACTTTAACTAAAAATACAATAAAATATTATATATATGAGAGGGCTTCAAAAATGTCAGGGGAAAATGTAATTATAAGCTAAAGGAATTTTCCTTCCTCATACATAAAAAGTCACTATAGTAGTCTAGTCAAGGAGGTAGGATGCTGCATAGATTATATCGACAACAGAGTTACCTAAGATGGTAGCTGGATTTAGAATAGAAAGAAAGACAATAACAAGATCTCTAATAAAGGTAGAAAATAATCATCAATAATTACCAGTATTAATAATACTGACAAGGAAGATTGGGATAAGCCTCAAAGGAAGGGGAAGAAAGAAATAAAGAATAAAAGAAGGACATTTTTATTGTGAAGTAAAATAGAAAAGTGCTGATTAAAAGAACTTTTGAAAATGATGAGGGCAACAAATGTACAAATGTGCTTGATACAATGGATGATGTGTAAATTGTGATAAAACTTGTATGAGCCCCCAATAAAATGATTTTAAAGAATAAATAAATAATAAACAAAGGAAGCCTTTGTGTGATACAAGAATTCTGTTCTGTTATTCTGCACGTGCAGGAACCCTAAGTGGCACTGTGATTCAAAGTGCTCTGCTACTACCTGAAAGGTCAGCAGTTCGAACCCACCAGCTGCGATGGGAGAGAAACATCCCCACAAAGATGTGCAGCCTTGGACACCATGTGTGGAAGTTCTATGCTGTCCTTCGGGCGCTATGAGTTGGAATCAACTCTACAGCAGTGAGTGTGGTTGTCCATGTACAGTGAACAGAGGGTCTAAGACAGAGCATAGGTGATGGCAACATTTAAATATATAAAAAGAAGGAAAGTCAGGGAAATAAATTAACATATCATAGAGAGAGTCAGAAAATGATCATGAGTCCTGGAAGCCAGAAACTGTAGTGGCAAATATGAGACAACTTCAAAAAGTTTATGGAAAAAGTAAAATGAAAAGGTAATGGAATTTTTCCATGAACTTTTTGAAGTTCCCTTATGTAAGGATTAGCAAGGTTCTTGTGCCAGACTTATCTGTGTTTGAATGTTGGCTCTGCCTTGATAGCTATATAATTGGGATAAGTCAGTCAACATCTCTGAGCTTCAGGTTTTCCTATCAATAAAACGGGGACAACAATGTACACCTTGAGAGTGTGTTTTGTTGGTAACTCATGCAAAGCATATGGCCATAGCAGACTCTCAGTTAGTGGTCATCACTGTTTAACAGTTTACTAAAACTTCCACTGAAAGGGTTATTATTATTACAAATGTCCCGGCAAAGGTAACCAAGGAAAGATAGCATGATGAGAGTAGAAGGGAGGAGGGAAGGCAGCTCAGAATAGGATGTAAAAAAGGGGAGGTCAGGGATTCAAACTACCATTTGAAAGCGTTGGTGATAAAGGAGAAAGAAACAGCATCGGAACGAAAGCTGTGTCACTGGTGGGGGTGAGGGCATAAACGAGGCTGACGGAGAATGGCTGAATAGGAAGGGACGGCCCTTCAGAAAACAAAGTGAAAACCCTAACCCAAACCTGTTGTCTTCCAGTCAATTCGGACTCAGTCAGGACAGAGTAGAACTGCCCCATAGGGTTTCCAAGGCTGAAAGTCTTTATGGATGCAGCTGATGGGTTCAAACACAGACCTTTCACTTACGTAGCAACAGAGTGCTTAACCACTGTGCCGCTAGAGCTCCTAGGTAAGGATGCCTGAAGATTTACATCAAACCTGTATGAAGATGAGCAGAAGTTGAAAAAAGTCCATCTAAATAATCTATTTCTAGGTAGTTTCAGGCAGCGACCTATTACTATTTTCTATAGTACCTATATATATTCTTTAAAAATATAAAGGAAAAAAAAACTTACTTCCTTTTTTTCCTCTTCTTCTATTTCCTGAATTTCTTCTTCATCCTCATTTAAAGATTTTTCTATTTCAGGCTCAATGAATTCTTTTATGAAGTACTGAGAGAAAAAACAATATTATCATTATAGCTTGGTATATAGAAATATAGCATATATACATATTTTAGTACTATGAGGAGACTTCAAAAGTTTATAGAAAAGTGGAATTGAAAGACAATGAAACATTTCCACACATTTAAAAATCCTGCTTCTGCATTAGAAATATTTCATTAAACCTATTTAAAGAGCACTAATAGTACAACTGGGCTCTATATTAGTGGTAAAGATACAATGGCTAACAAGAGTGGCCTCCTTCCCTTACAAAACTTACATTTTAGTGGACAAGAAAATTATATATAGATATATATAGAGAGAGACTTCAAAAATTCATGAAAAAATAAAATCAAAAGATAGTAGATTTTTTCCATGACCTTTTCAAAACCACTCATGTACTCATATAGCAAGAGCACCTGATCTGGACTTGGTAGTAGACAGGGCTATAAGAAGGTGGTTGGCTTGTCTGGAAGGTTTCCTTGAAGAGCTAATGTCTGAGTTTCTCCTTGAAAGATGAGTAAGGAAAACAAGATGTCACAAGGGAGTTTTAGGTAGTAGAAGCTATTTATGCATGATTGGTTCTGAGAACAGAAACCTAGGAGCAGTTGAGGTGATGGTGCACTAATAATGGAAAGGACTAGACTGTCATGCCAAGAAGATGGTACTTTATCGTGAAAGGCAATGAAGTACCAATAAATTGACTGATCTGTTTTATATTTTAAAACAATTACTCTGGCCACAAAAGAATCAATTTAAAGAGGGAGAAAATAAGAGGGAGGAAGGCGAGGCAAGAAAGACACGAGGCAGGAATGAACTACAGGGTGGTTGCAGAAACGAACAAAATGGAGGTTAAAGAGATCGTCAGAAGATAACTCTTAGTGACTGATTGGAGGGTATGGGGGGTTAGGGGAAGGGAACATCTTGGATGACACCTATTTTACGGAGTAGGGCACTAGACAGCTCATGATGCCATTCACAGACATAAGATAAAAAGCTAGATAAAGAGGTTTGGAGAGAAAGAGTTCATATTGGATTACATAAGCCTAAATGATCACTGAGACATCCAAGTGGACCTCTGGATCTGGAGTTTAGCTGGAGGGGTCTGGGCTAAAGATAGAGATTTGACAGTCACAGTTATCTGCCTTTAGTTGAACCCAACAAAGAAAATGGCAATTGATGACGTAACAAGGTCTTAGGACAAAGCTTAGTCATGTAAAGGGATAGGGAAAACAGAGGAATCTGCAAAGGAGGCCACAGTAGCCTCAGAAATATGAGAGAGGCTACGAGAAGAGCCAATACCTCAAAGGAATCTATTCAAGTGTTAAGACTGAAAATGTCCCTCGGATGATTATTGAAGCAGTGTTTAAAACCTAAAGCTAGAAGCAAATGCATTTCCCATAATAATAAATGTTTAAATATATTTCGGCATAAGTCTAAGACAAAGCACTTTATAACAATTTAAGATTACATTGCAGAGTATGTAGAATTAAAAAAATCCACAATGTACTATATCTTTCTAAATGATATACCACTTATTCCTAATGACATATGATTACTATAAAACATTAAAAAGCCTTTTCACGAAGAGGGCACCAAAGGCGAAGAAGGAAGCTCCTGCCCCTCCCAAAACGGAAGCCAAAGCAAAGGCTTTAAAAGCCAAGAAGGCCGTGCTGAAAGGCGACCACAGCCACACAAAAAAGAAGATCCGCACGTCACCCACCTTCCTGCGGCCCAAGACCCTGAGACTGAGAAGGCAGCCCCAAGGCCCTCGGAAGAGCGCCCCCAGGAGCAATAAGCTGGACCACTGTGCCATCCTCACGTTCCCCTGGACCACAGAGTCTGCCATGAAGAAGACCGAAGATAACAACACACTTGTGTTCGTTGTGGATGTCAAAGCCAACAAACACCAGATCAAGCAGGCTGTGAACAAGCTCTGTGACATGGACGTAGCCAAGGTCAACACCTTGATCAGGCCTGACGGTGAGAAGAAGGCATATGTTCGACTGGCTCTGCCAACAAAATTGGAATCATCTAAAGTGAGCCCAGCTGGCTAATGCTAAATATAAACTTTTTCAATATTAAAAAAAACATTAAAAACAATACAAATAATTAAGAATTCTAATTAACTATTAAAGTTTTATATCTAATAAAATTTAAAAAATATTCTTCCTAAATACTTTATGTATAAATATTTTAACATACATGAGATAATAATGTATGTTGCATGCCATAATCTGTTTTCTCTGTAATACATCATGGATGAACTTTTTCTCATTACATAAGTATCTACACATCTACACTACATACACATCTACACAGAATTCCACTATATGATGATATTATAATTCATCAACACTTATATTATTTCTGGTCTTTGCTATTATAAGTTATGCTATTATAAGTTATGCTATAGTTAATATCCTTACATAAATATATAATTGAATTATCAGACATATAATAAATTGTTTAATATGTTTAATAAAATAAGAGGTGTAAACTATAAGTTAAGAACAAAAACCAAATAGAACTTCAATAACTGAACATTAAAACTCAACAAAAATGCTAAATAGTAGATTAAACTCAGTTGAAGAGCAAATTAGTGAACTGGAAGGTAAGCTAGAATCAATTATCCAATATGCAATGCAAAAAGGCAAAAGGACAGAAAACAGGAAAAGATTCAGAAGATGACGTGGAACAAGAGATAGCATTGCTGATGTCAGATGGATCTTGGATCACAGCGGAGACTATCAGAAAGATATTTACTTGTGTTTTATTGACTATGCAAGGCATTCAGCTGTGTGGATCATAGCCAACTTTGGATAGCCTTGAGGAGAATGGGCTTCCAGAACACTTCATTGTGATCCAGAGGAACTCGTACACGGATCAAGAGGCAGTATGCGAGCAGAGCAAAGGGATAAAGAGTGATTTAAAACCAGGAAGGGTGCGCATCAGGGTTGTATCCTCTCACCATCCTCATTCAATCTGTATGTCGAGCAAATCATCAGAGAAGCTGGATTCCATTAAGCAGGATGGAGGAAAGCTTATTAGCAACCTGTGCTATGAAGATGACACACCTTACTTGCTGAAAGTGAAGGGGATTTGAATCAATTGCTAATGAGCATCAAGGTTGCAGCCTTCAACTCAATGTAGAGAAGGCCAAACTTCGAACAACTGGACCAATAGGCAACATCATGGTAAATGAAGGAAAGATTAAGGTTGCCCATCATTTTTGTCTTGCCCATCTACTTAAGTGGAGAGCAAATGTTTTGAGAATGATGAGGGCAATGAATGTACAAATGTGTTTTACACAATTGATGTGATAAGAGCTGTACGAGCCCCAAATACAATGATTAAAAAAGAGAAACCCTTAAAAAAAAAAGTGTTTGTGATGGAAAGAACAAGAAAGTGTGTAATAGAGAAGACAAGCTCAAGAGATAGAAATGACCATGCTTATAGATTTTTTTTATAGGTTGATTTTTTTTAAAAAAGGAACCATTAAAAAAGACATTAGAGATACAAAAACTGAGAGGACATTGGGGATGGGTTGAGTCTCAAAGGAAGAGAAACCCTTGGATGGGAAGACTGAGACTAGAGGAGGAGGGCAAGGGGAGCGAAGAAGCAGAGCATCTGAGGCTGTGTCTCAGGAAATGACAGAAGCCTCATCTGAAAGCCATTCTTTCTTTTATGACATAAGAGGTCAAAAACCTGCTAAAGTGAGCAAAGATGCTGGCGGGGATGGCGCTTCCCTTGGGAAGAAGAAGAGTGGCCTTCCTCCCCGTCTCCTCTCCTGATAGAGCGGCTGGAGAGTCAAAACACTGCCCGGAAAAAAGTCCCTGAACCTTTACCTACTGGAATACAGGGAAGAGCATGTAACACATGGCAAATACCTCCTCTCCAAATAGATGTTCTATTTCATCAGGCTGCAATAATATTATTTTTCTGCCTTTGAGTTCAGAAAGGAGAATAGTACATGTATTGATCCAATCATAACATTCTCTCTGAAAAAAGATAAAAGATAATTATTAAGCAGAAAAAACTCAGACACCAACTCATTTCTTCACTCAATCTTATTGAGGAGCTGCTAGCTAGAATATTAGCATTCTTCTAAATAGAATTCTATTCGATACTTCAAACATTTGTGCAATGGTGTCCAAATATAGATATAGATCTAAATTAGGTCTTCTCTTATTGGCAGAATTTGAAATCTGGATTGTAATGGAGCAAGAAGTGCTAAAGGCACATAAAACCATATACCTGTATAGAGGATTGTTGGGTTTACTAAGGCCTAATTGTCTGCCTCAATAAATTTATGTAAATAGCATCAATTATGATTGCATGCTAAAAGCATATACTTACATCACAATTATTTGCTACTCTAGTCTAAGTGTTGTAGATATATTTGTTTGATCTCAACATGAGGTAGGTACTACTACTATTCTCATTTTTAAGATGACAATATCAAAGAATGCCTAAAAAACTCTCATTGCCATCAAGTCCATGCTTTCTCATAGCGACCTCCCTGTGGGTTTCTGAAACTGTGTGGGAGTAGAAGGCCAGGCTTTCTCCCACGGAGCTGTTGGTAGTTTCAAACTGTCAAATGACCTGAAATTTTAAAGACTCTATTGAAAGATCTGGGGCAATACTTGTCCACCTAACGTGAAGAGTAAAACTGCATATCTTTTTTTTTAAATCATTTTATTGGGGGCTCGTACAACTCTTATACAATCCATACATACATCCATTGTGTCAAGCACATTCTCAAACATTCTTAAAACATTTGCTCTCCACTTGAGCCCCTGATATCAGCTCCTCATTTTCCCCCTCCCTCCCCGCTCCCCACTCCCTCGTGAGCCCTTGATAATTTATAACTTATTATTATTATTTTGTCATAGCTTACACTGTCCGACATCTCCCCTTACCCATGTTTCCATTGTCCATCCTCCAGGGAGAAGGTTATATGTAGATCCTTATCATCAGTTCCCCCCCTCTACCCCACCCTCCCTCCACAAAATCTTCTAACAGTTAAGATGTGGTTTCAATGTTTTAAAGATACATTTTTCTTGTTAGTGAGCAAAAGAAAGAGAAAAGAGACATTATCTTCTTTGGGAGAATCACACTACTGAAACCTAGTCACAGTAACCATCACCAAACAGTACCATGATATAAAATAATGATCCACTTTACACCCCTGAAATCAACCACAAAGCACCGTTACATGCCTTATATTCTTCTAATATATGTATTTGGAATTATTGCAAAATGCCAAGGTCCCAAAATCTTATAAATCAAGTCCAAACATCTTAAGTGATAGTTAAGGTAAGTGAAGCTTACAGAGATAAGATTACAGAGTCCCTGAGTGTTACAAATGGTTAAAGTGCTCAGCTACCACATGAAAGGTTAAAGGTCCTAGTCTACCCAGAGGATCCACAGAAGGAAGAATTCACTCTCTGCCACTGAGTTGATGCCAACTCACAGCAACCCTACAGGACAGGGTAGACCGGCCCTAATGAGTTTCTGAGACCATAAGAGGATGAGAAAGCCATCTTTGTCCTCAGGAGTAGCTCGTGAGGAAAAATGTGTACGAGAAAGCTCTGCCTAGCGGAGCTTTTTTCCACTTTTTTTTTTCTGCAAAGGGGATACCCCTTGTACTTGTATGTCAGTATATATGTGTGTATATATACAAAGGTATATGTATATATCTTATATATTTGTTCTTCTAGCCATGATACTGTCAATATTCATCACCAACACCATAATTCAAATGCATAGGTTCTTTTTCCATCTTCCTTATTCACCATCCAGCTTTCACGTGCCTATGAGGCCACTGAGAGGACCATGGCTTGAGGCAGGTGCACCTTAGTCCTCGAAATGACATCTTTGCTTTTTGACATTCTTCCAGAGGTCGTTGGCAAAATATTTTCCCAATGAAATACATAGCTGATTTCTTAACTGCTGCACCCATGAGCACTGGTAGTGGATTCAAGGAAAACGAGATCTTTGACTTCCATTTTTTTTCTGTTTATCGTGATGTTTCTCATTGGAACACTCATGAGAATTTTTGTTTGCTTTGCATTGAGGTGGGTTCTACATGAAAGCATGTATAAATTACATCCGTGGACCTCTATCAGTATTCTCAGGACCTCTTGGCTTTCAGCAAGCAAAGTGTAATGAGCCTTCCTCCAATCTTGATGTCCCATTTTTTTCCCCAATCTATTGCAGCTTCTCGGATTATTTGCTCAACATACAAACGGGATAAATATGGTAAAGAATACAACCTTGACATACATCTTTCCTAATCTTACATCCAACATTCTCTTGTTCTGGTCAAACAACTGCCTCCTATTCTATGTGCATACTCTGCATGAGTACAATAAAATATTCTGGAATTCCTGTTCTTTACACTGTTAATCATAATTTGCTATGATCCACACAACTAAATGCTTTTAGATAGCCAACAAAAGAAAGGTAACATCTTTCTGCTATTCTCTGCTTTCAGCCGGGATCCATTTGATGGTAGCATGACATCCCTTGTTCCACATCTTCTGAATCCGGCTTAAATGTCTGGCCACTCCCTTCAGCAAGACTTCACATGTATGTCATATTAGTGATATTGTTTGATAATTTCTGCATTCGATTGGGTCAGTTTTGTTGGAATGGCGGTTGAGTGTCCAGCATGCATCTGTTTGTTGAAACACTTCAAATGGTACTCCATAATTTCTGGAAACTTCTTTTCTGCCAATGGTTGCAGTGCAGGTTGGACTTCTTTCAGTCCCATCTGTTCTTGATCATATGCTATTTTTGAAACGGTTGAACATTGACCAATTCTTTTTGATAGTTATTCTCTGCATTTCCTCCATCTTCTTTTGATGCTTCCTTTATCTTTCCATATTTTTCCCATAGAATCCTTCAGCATTTCAACTCAAGGCTTAAATATTTTCTTCAGTTCTTTCTGCTTGAGACATGCTGAGTGTGTTCTTCCCTCTTGGTTTCTACCTCCAGGTTTGGGCACATTTCATTATAATACTTTTTTTTTTGTCTTCTCAAACTGCCTGTTGAAATTTTGTTTGGCTCTTTTACTTCATCAATTCCTCCATTTACGTTAGCTATTCAAATGCAAGTTTCACAGTCTCTTCTTACATCCATGTTGGTCTCTTTTTACTTTCCTTCTTGAAAGGCCCTTTAGCTTTCGTAGCACACGATGTTTCTGATGTCATCCTACAACTTCTTGGTCTTCAGTCATTAAATGCTCAGTGCATCAAATCTGTTCTAAAGATGATTTATAAATTCAGATGCGATGTATTCAGTGGTATTTTGGTTCTGTGGACTTGTTTTCATTTTCTTCAGCTCCAACCTGAACTAGTATATGAGTGATTGATGGACCTGTTTGCATTGGCTCCTGGCATTGCTTTGGCTAATGATATCGAGCTTCTCCATCATTTTTTCCCCATAGAGGTAGTCCTTTTAATTACCGTGTGTTCCACCTGGTGAGGTCCACATGTACACCAGAAAACCCCTAACTGCCATCAAGTCGATGCTAACTCATAGTGACACTATAGGACAGGGTAGAGTTGTAACTGTTCCCATGGAACAGCTGGTGATTTTGAATTGATTGTAGTTCAACAAGTAACCACTGGGTCACTAGGGCTCCTAATACATAGTCATTGTATATGCTTTGAAAATAGTTATTTGTAGTAAATAACTCATTGGTCTTGTAATATTCTATCATGCAATTTCCAGCTTTGTTTCTAGCATGAAGACCATATTTTCTAAAATTGATCCTACCTCTTTGTTTCCAGTCTCCATATTCCATTCACCAGTATTATCAATACATCTTGATCGCATGTCTAATCTCAGACTTAAGAAGTTAGATTAATTATTCAATTTCTCATTATGGGATTTATGGTTGATGCATAATTTGAATAATAGTCATATTAATTGGTCTTCCTTGTAAAAATATAGATACATGTATCACAACATTGTGCTTCAAGAAAGATATTTTTGACAATAAATGTGACATTGTTCCTCTTCAAATAATCATTCCCAGCATAATGAATAATATGATTGTCAGATTCAAAATGGTCAATACCAGTCCATTTCAGTTCACCAATTCCTAGGACATCGTTTTTTTTGTTTTTAATAAATAGTTTTATTGGAGGCTCTTTTTTTTTGTTGTTGTTGTATTAGGTGTTCTTTTTTTTTTTTTT